GGCAAAACGTGAACTCTTAATTTACAAAATGTCTTATAATTTTAAACACAACTTGAAAAAAGCTGCAAAGAAGTCTTGTTTACATCAAATATCACAAATAATGCTCATAAATTTTATTTTGGAATACAAACGGCTTTTAGCACGCGTTGTCTTCCAATAGCTTGCAGCTCAGTTAGTTTTTGATGCAATTTTAAGCCGAAAATGATGCCATAATAAACTCTATACTATGACGTCTCTTACCTCTATCAGCGCTATCGCTCCTTCGGTGGGCTCGCCATTTTAGTTGAAGTTTCTCTTCACGAAGTGCAACGAAAACATAACGTCTGTTGAAGAAATGTTCACTTGGGACAACAGTGAGGAAGTTACACTTTTAAGCCAATTCACAAAACGATTGCTCTCGAGTTTACAGGTCCTGTTGGCAATTCATGAAAACTACTATAGCATCGAATGTACGTATTCATAAATAAAAGAAACAACCAACTGCAAGTGGCATCGGGTTAACTCTACGAAATGCGTGACAACTACGCGCAGTTATGACTGAAGGTCCTCTCATCTGTAAAGCGTGATTGGGCGATTTTCCCCCGTGAATCGTTATTTGATTTTTCTTTATTCGTGAATCGTGATTAAAGAGACAAAGATCTTTTCATGTCCACGTGAACAAGCTGAATGAAACGTGATTCGTGAACCATTTTGTTTCGCGTGATGAATTTCCGGCTATTTAAATTATTTATTGTTTTGGAAATTAACGTGTCATTTCGCGTGAACGTGAAAGAGTCTTGGATATTATTCGTGAGGCATGAAAAGGACAAATGTTTTTACGTGAGTGAGTTTTCATGACAAAGGTATAGGGGACCCTCACGATTTTGAGGAGGGTAGCGAGGGGGTAGTCTAGGGGGGTTCTCTGATCACGTTTCACGCACGAATTTTACGAAAAGCATCACACGTCACGTCATAAAAGGGAAAGTTTTAAATCTCTTCTTGTGGACAATTTTTCAGGGAAACCTCGACGTTGTCACGAAATGAGGGAAAAACTTCACGCGGGTTAGGTAAATTTATCCCGATTAAAAAATTAACGAATCAAGCTTGTCTTTTTGTAAAATTTACACCTCACATACACCAATTTGGCCTTAGTCGCATTCTTGGCAAACTTACTAATTGTTGATTGGCGGAGACAGGGGTAATCAAGCCGGTATAATTACTTACGAGAATGCTAGTAAACAGAACTCAGTTCAAGTACACGTTGGTGGTAGCCGTTACGACAAGTGACCGTCAAGTCAGTTTAACACAGCTTTGCTTATTTAAAGGGGGTAAGTTTTACGGTGGTGCTGTGCCGGTGGGGGGGGGGGAGGCACAGTCATAACAAGATTATTTGGATTATAAGGTAAATTGGCCACAGTAAAGAGTTTCGAAAGCTATCTTTTAAAGGGTTAATCCTTTGTCAGAGCAGAGTTTATTCAGCAGAATCAAATTTTGCCATAGTTCTGATTAATTGGCAACAGAACTTCCTGCGGTCTGTAATCATACTCGTGATTGACAGATCGGACACCTACTTCGCGGTCGTCCGATTTTGTTAATCACTCGTATGATTTCAACCAAATTGGACTCCTTTCAGTCCTATTACCATAATTAATTGGAAAGTTTTAAAAATTAAAGAATAATAGCTATGCTGTCAAGTTCGGATTAAATACCAGCTATACAATTAGAGCACTAATGAGACTGTGCGCACCATGCCTGTGTGATTTAAGCGTCATGTCTAGTGTTGTTTCTCAAGTTTTTTCATAGTTCTCAGTAATTGGTGACAGGCTAGGACTTCGTGTCGTCCAATTCTGTCTGTAATCATAGTCGTGATGAATGGATCGAGCTTCTGGCTCCTACTCAAAACTGCCATTCCAATTTTTTTTGTGTCGTAGTATTCCATCGTGCATTATTGTTTTGAAACAGTCGAGTGGTAAAAACTGCGCTAAAAAGTAAACCAAATTTTATCAATCTTTTCCAAGCGATCAAGCTGCTCTAGACGATACCTATCGAATCTCTGTAAGTTCCCTCTGGACGGGCCGACCGGAGAGAATGGCTCGAGTTTTCTCGACCCTGTGTCAGCGGAACGAATCTTACAATAAATCTTTGACGACGAAATCTTTGACGAATGCGTTTCGCAGTCAAAATCTGGCGAGTTTACTGGTAAACTACACCATGACTTAATTTTAAAGGTATGAAACACGAGCAAATTGTGCGTGCTGGGGTGTGTTATGTATCGGATAAGCTTGCAGATTTTACAGCCATAGGCCAAACAGCAGCATTCCTAGAGAACAGCGACAAACTTCCCGTCAGTGTTACATTCCGAAGGCAGTCCTTGCTGAATGTCGTTTCAAAAGTGTGATACAGGTACAGCCACGCATAAGAATCGGAAAATCTCAGACTAAGCAAACGAATACGTACGTATTATGCTCTTTGGTAAATATTATGTGGTTTCCTAGCTTGCCTTTGCTGTTTGGTCCGTTAATATACTCCTTAAGCAAGTTACATGAGGAGTTCAGACTGACGGATGAAATGAACGCTTCGATTCTAGCTCGATACTAGTTTGAGAGTAGAGTAATTATAGATAAATGAGTTTTGTCGTAGTAATAACATTTTCAGTATTCTAAATTTTGCAAGTGATTACAGCATCATAACTAGCATATCGGGCAAGTCTGGGCACGTCCTTTAAGAAAACGCTCACTATAATGTGATTGGATGAATATGGCTTAGGGAATGTGACGTTCAGAACAACAGTTAACGAATAGGAGCGAGAATAGTCTAGAAGCGCAGTTTTTGAACGTATTGTCAGAAAGAAAGTTGCTTTTTTCGAGACTCACTTTGAAAACCTGCAAAGCAACCAAATTCTACCTTAGAGCCGGGTTTGGAAAGGGCATCATAAGGCTGTTTTCGCTTAGTAGCATCAGGAAAAGGTCTTCGAATTGTTTTCTTATCAAAGCTCCTACTTGTTGCCTTTGATAACAAGTTTGGTCGACCGTGGAATCACTCACAAATGATTAGCTGTCAAAGCAATCTGACATTGTTTAAGCGCCAAGACAACCATATTTCAGTCAGTTCTTTCTCTATTCTCAGCTCTTACTGACTTACTGAATTATCAGCTCCTTACGCTTGGGCAATGTGGCTCCAAAGAGCGACCCTCTGCTGCATTTATCTAGTTTTGTTACACAGCGTGACCTATAGACAAAACCATTCATTTGCCAGGTTAAAGCAATTTAATGTTTTGCAAATGAGTTGTGTTTACGCTTTCGGCTTTCATTGCAAAGCTGCATTGTTTCTGTTTGTACCGACAACTGCAACAGCTCTTTGTAATAATCTTCACAGCAATTCTACTGGTGGATCACACAGCTGGAAGGATATCCGTCTCATCTTTAAATTTGAAAAGAAATTATGGCGCCTAAACGATGTCATTGACTCATGCGAAAGTAACAAATACATCGACTACAAGCGGAACCTCGATTTAACGAGCCCCTATATAACGAAGTCCTCGGTATGACGAACGATACTTCAGTTTCAGCCCGGCTAAAGTTACAGTAAAATGTATGCCACAGAGCCTCGATGTAACGAACCCTCGATACTGACGAACCAATTTCCTTAGTCCCTTGGCACTTCGTAAAATCGAGGTTCCAGTGTATTACGTTCATTACTGACTTGTTGTAACTTGTACCTTGTGTTTAAACAAGGCTTCTTTCAAGTTTTTAAGAGACCCATAGGATTCTCTATGCCTCAGAATTGGCTCTATGCAAAAATATCTAGAACAAAAGACGGACAGTTCAAAGTTTACAATCGATCGATCCTCGGATGAAAAGCGTTATGTATGAGTCCTTATACATTATCGATAATAGATATATTCGAGAAAGGTTGCTTAACTGATGCCTATTGGTGATAAAGAACGGACTCATCAGAAGGTACATCAAAAAGTACATTTCAGATTCGAAATATATTACACGAAACTTAAGTTAATTTTGAGGAAAACTTATCATCAAACATGCTGTATCGATTATTAAGAGTCGAAGGTGAACATCAACCGCGACATTGATGATCTCTTATTCAACGATTTCGCTACATTCGTCGCTCACAAAGAGTTGACATGAACGAATCGAACATTCTGCATTTGCGACATGCGATCGTTCGTCAAAACTCAGGCATTAAAAACATTAATACACCCCAGGGGAATTAAAGGGTGAATAAAAGGCGCCCTTTTCAGTTTCGATTATCTTACCAATTCGAAGTAACTCACCGTTGCCCGATAAAATTCGACGTTTTGTAAAGGATGTCCTCCCCCATCGCATGACTGTAGCGAGGATCGAACTATTACGTGTCAAATACAAGCGACGATGTGACCACGTTGGGGAAGGCGGCAAACAAAGTAGGGAGAATGGAAACAGGGCCCTGCTGTAGCGCTAACATGACACTGAATCACAGGAAACCCAAGCTCAAAAAACTATACAATTATGTAAATATCTGGGAAAGAATATTTAAGATGGCAAAGCAGATGAACTAAAACCAGTCTAACCGGCGCTTAATCAGCCCAAGAAACTCACACGATGAAAAAGAACAATTACTTAAGTGGGATAAGTTTGTTTGATTCAAAACTAGTGCAGATCTTTTAATTTAAGTCGAGAGCGCGACCGTTTATCCCCGAACAAATCATTTCATTATGGCCATTGCTCGACCACAGTCGCTAGCCGAGGTGCCCCAGGCGTACTTTATGCGAATATCAAATATGTTAAGTTTCAACTGAAGTATTCCGGCAGTTTTAAACAATTTTTTATAATAATAATAATAATAATAATAATAATAATAATAATAATTTGATATTTATATTGCGCAAATTAATAC